CCTGGATCTGGGGCGGCTTGGTTTGCTCCTCGATTTTCCCCTTTGGCGCTTCCTTAGGTACCTCCTCTTTCCCCTTCTGCGACTCAATTGGAACGGCAATGGCTTCAATCGGCGGTGGGGGTTTTGGAGCTGAAGAGGAAGAGTTCGGTGGGTAACATATTTCATTGGAAGGTGGAAGCGGCTTACCGTAGGTTTGGCAAATGTCATAGCCACCGTCGTAAGGAGTCGGGTCGTACTCTTCAAAATCAGGCTCATTAAATTCCGCAACAGAGTATGATATCACAAATTGGGTCGACACCTTCTGGTGACCATCGCCATAAAGTTGAGGGTCATATTCAATCACTTTGGGCGCACTGAAAGTCGAGGCAGAGCAAGCGTATGCCGAGTAGCTAATTGGGAAACCAGAAGCCCCATCGTCAACGGGATCTCTGAAATTGGAGCCATAGGAAGCATCAGCCGAGTCGTCAACTCCAGAATCATAAGCCTCCCCAAAATAGCAAGGAGGTGGGTAGTCAAGGAGATTGTAGAAGCTGGGTTCGTTGCTGGATTGCGGGATTGGGGGCTCCGTTTGAGCATAATCGTAGTAAGAATCATAGGAGGAATCGTAATCGGTCAAATCAGTGTGGTAGAAGGTTGGATTGCAGAACTCCATTGTAGATCTGATCATGGAGCAAATTGGGTTTCCTCCATTTGTGAATTTTGGGAATCTCTACTCTCTTTCAACTCCATCATCAATCGTACAAAGGTTGCTCCATTCCAACCACATATCACTTATCTAATTGGGAATTGGTGAGAAGAATGAATGACACGCACCTTATTGCACTAGCAGTAGCAGCAGGCTTCAACAAGTAGTCGTGTGGGGGTTGTAGTTGTACTTGTAAAGCACTGTTTTTTTCTGGGTATACGGTAACATTGATTAATTAAGATTAACAATTTGATTATTGAGTTGATAGAATGAAAGCATATGGATTGGAACGGGGTTTTTAACTTTGTCGTTTTACTAAATTAACCGTTTCAAGGTAAAAAACAGCTGACATCTAAGAAAGCTGATAGTGTGATATTATGCACTTAATATTGCCTAGATAATGAATATTTTAAAGAAAATTAATGCACCAAATTAAAGGGTGGCTGATGTTACTTAAGAGCAGCAGTTGATGTGACTGAAAAAGAATCCACGAGTGGAAGAAATTATTAATTTAAATTAAGAGTGCTTTTGTGGGGTTTGTTTGGCAGTTTGCGCCGTCACCGTGACCGTGAGGTGGTTGAAGCTAAGATCAAACGCCAGTTCGGCTGTCGTTTAGCCGCAGTTCTAACGCATGCCACCGATGATATGGGGCCATCAATCTTCTCCATTTTTGTTCATAATAATTTAATTTTGTTTTCCTTAATTCATTTTTTTAATTATTCAGCTTTTAAACACTATAAATTTAAAAATTATGTATGTTATGTTATGATGGTCAAAACAACCAAAAAAAACTTCATCAATTTGGTTTTTTCCCTTTCTTTATATTGATTACATTTTGTAACTTTTTTTTTTTAATCTTTCTGTTTCTGGAAAAATGAATCAAAACATGATATATAGCCTTTTATTTTACCTATTTTATTAACGAAGTGTAAAAATTGTTAGCTAGATATACTATTTATTTTAAAAACCTCCCTTGCACCACTGTCATTGTTGGTTGTAAACTTGCAGGATAGTCTTGGATTGAATTGGGCCACAAAGAATTGGGTTATTTTGGAATTATGGACTTTCATGAAGGAAAAGGCCCATAACCCATCATCCCATCCAATTATTTGTCTACCCCTTTCTAATCTATTACTGGCTACCAAATTACACAATTTTTTTTTTCCATTTTAAAGAAACATCTTCATCTACTTTCTGTCACAATATTGAATAGGTTAAGAGTGCCATCATAGCTTTGATTGGCCAGATAAATTATTGGTATATAGGTGATAGACAAAAAATCAAAGTCGCACAGACTTATGCTTAAGACGAACAACATCGTATTATTGTAGAAATATAGCGGATTTCTCTAACAAAATATATGGAGTAAAGAAAAACATAATTCAAAATCTATGAATATAATAAGAAATTTTGGCATTTAAATATTAAATAGTCACTAATTAAACAAAACATGTAATTTAACTTAAAGAAACATACATTTCTACCCGAAAATTTGCATTTAGCTCTTACAAAATGATTTCCAAAGTTATATGCGCAAGTAGAGCTTTACGATGGGTCATCGAAAATTTTTAGGACCAATTAGAACTCCATTTCAAATAATTGACAAGTGTCGCCGTTGGGAATGACAATTGAGGAATGGAAAATAAGAGATATATATATATTTTTAAACTTTTTTTTGAATTATTATAAAATATTTTGATTAATTATGGTAAGGTGGATAAATTAATTGATGATTGATCTTATTAATTTTTTTTAATCAAAACGTCTTTTTACTAATTTCCTTTTTAAAGTTGTTTTTCTTCATACATTCAGATCTGAAATGTTTTTTTACTTGGTTTTTATAGAACTTTTTTTTGCCTTTTTTTTTTTTGTTTTTTTCTTAGATTCTATTTCGCGTGGGTGCATGTCTGAGTGAAAAGTTGTGTTAACTTTGGAGAACAACCTGCAAAGAAACAATTTAGCACCAAAGTGATATCGAAATTGCTTTCAGAGTGGTGGGTCGAGTTTCATCCGCAACACGACGATCTTTTTCCATCTAAATCCTTAATCTGTTTTAACAATAAGTTTGTCCAATTCCCATGTCAACACATTCTTCACAATACAAGTATAGCTCCACAGTCCAATTTTGGAAAAATTATTGAAGCCACCACACTATGATGGATTATTTTTAGCCTCTTGAATGTACAAGAGAGAAATTATAAAAAAAAAAAAAGTGTTTCCATATATATATATTTAATAATTATTAATGACATATAATTTTCTTTTTAAAATTCAACAATCGGGAGATGAAGCCTAGAACCACTGACTTCTTTTTTTTAGTTCAACATGTAGGGACGAGAGATCGAACTCACAATCTTTTGGCTTGAGATATATATTAACTTAACTATGTTTGCTTTGACGATTTTGACTTCCCCTTTATGAGTTAAACCTCACAAACCTCACAATTCTTCACATGTTTTTTATGATATTTATTTCCTCATATGATAGATTTTGTGCCAGGCAAATATTGTCGATGTGTCTGATGTGACCCAGTTTGATTATGTGATTTTTTTGAACCATAAAAAGAAATCAAATGTCGGTATATTCAATCAAAAAACCTAGATATCAATAAAAATGGACCTTTTCAGTTCAACTTCTCTGAATTAGATCACCCTAATTAATAAGAGATGACTTTTTTTTTTTTCCCTTCTTCTAAGAGAGAGACATTCTGTGGGAGCAAGAAGTAGAACATGGGTACATAACATGCCAATTTTCAATTTTGTTTTTTCACACATCATTCACAAAAGCTTGGGCAGAACAAAGAAAAACAGAGATCCTAACTAAAAACAGAGATCATCACTAATGGCTAAATTATAATAAAACACCATTAAACCTTTCCAAATATTTCAAAAATATCCATATCCTTCTAAAGCTTAAAAAATACTATTTTTTTGTTAATATTTTGAACCAAAAGTTAATATGATAAATCTGACAACATATAATTAACAGTCTTCTTTATTCTCTTTTTAACAGAATTTGCTTCTCCATCTCCATTGTCTACCCAATTTATCCTAATATACTTTTAAAAAACGATACTTCGTTCACAATTCTTTTTTCTTTAGACTTAATCCAGAAAAATTTCCATCATTTCAAATTCTATCACATCTATATATCTTCGATTCTTCTAGTCAAGGTGAGACATCGAATTGACATTTAGAATAGACTTTCTTTCCATAGTTTTGCATGCATGTTGTCAAAAACATGAAACACAAAAATTGATGAAGAAACAACAAACATAAGTCTGATCCTATAAATGATTTTTTATTTTCAATTGTAGTATGATCCTATTGAATGCTTTTTTTTTTTTTCATTTTTAGCACGATCTTATTGAATGATTGATGTCCTGTAGTTGAGTTAGTATTTGCTTAGAATTTTCAATTTAGCCCCATCTTCTCTTCTCCATAGGAGAACTTAGAAAAATAACACACTACAGTTTTCTCGTTCACACACCAATTTTCACAATTCACGTGTTTCTGTGTTAAACCATTGAACCTAAATGAGATTACTTCATCAAATTTCAAATTTCCATTTATGTATTGCTTAATTTTTATGTTGCATTAGATGACTTTTTTGTTATTCTTCTATCCTGTACTAGCCTGCCAACTGTATGTGGTTTGTTATGTGTAGCCCTTTTACCTTTTTTCATACAGTAGAAATACAGTGATTCAGTATACATTTTTCCCTTTTATTTCTCTCTGTTTTTCATATTGCCAACATCTTTCACAAAATGATTGGAATACTATGTCAGTTGTACACCTTTATTTTTATATATACATATTTTTAATTACACCAAACAAAATATAGGAACTTGATCGGGACGAAGGACTTCATCAAACATAGCTATGGCGGGGAAAAGTCAAACAAAAAAAAAAAAGAGAGAGATGAAATAGCAGTAATCACATTTGATACCATATTAAATGATAAGATATAAAGTTGTGAAAATTCATTCTTCCATTAACTTTTACCGAATATGTCTTACATATTTATACAAGAATGGGATGAAAAACAAAAAAAATAAAAATAAAAAGCGAATTTACAAACCAACTAATCTTGATTAGTTACCAAATAATTAAAAAAACAAACTAAGTGTTCTTCATAAATAAAGCCTTTATATTTTGGGGCATGCGCATGCTGTAGTGTAGGGACGCGAATTGACAGGAACATTGAACCCAACCCACCAAGATTAAGTGTATGCTGATGTTTTGTTCACAAAGACATGAATACAAATAGAATGAGAACTTCGACTCTCACATAATTTCATGCACAACTTCTCATCTCAAATTTCCTTCTTAATTTAAAACATTATGGCCTTCTGTTTTGCTGCTTCCTTCCCGACTGCAAAGTACATTCCACCAAGGAATGACCATTTCTTACGACAGTTGAAGAATCCTAATGTAAAACCTTTATTTGGGACGCAAATCGTTAATTCCCATGATCTTGCCTTGCGCTCTCTCCCCCATAAACACCAAAATCAGTTTCTGGATGGTTTGAGTTGTGCAGCTGAGGTGAGGAATTTGAAGCGTATACTAAGAGACCAAGTAGGAGGTTGTTGGGAGAGTTTGGATGTGATTGATGCACTACAACGCTTAGGAATTGACTATCACTTCCAACACGAGATTGATGCCATTCTACAGAGGCAACAATATGCAATCTCTGCTCCTCGTTTTGGTGATGGCGAGATTGATCTTCATAAGGTTGCCCTTCGGTTTCGACTTCTGAGACAGCATGGTTACTACATGCCTCTAGGTGAGTATGAATTTTTAAATATATGAACAATATTTAGGTGTTGACTGGTGAGTAATTATATATCAATGTTGACCATTATTAAAAAATTCACCGCTTTTATTTTTACATTTTTCTCTTATTTTTCAATTTTGAATGATACGATGGTCGGCACAAGATAAGTACTTATCAATCAGTACCTAAGTATTGTCCTTGGGTCAAATCATAAAATTGGACCATGTTAAAAAAGTTTAGGAAGTTTAGGGTTATTTCTACTTAGCCATTATACTTAAAAAATTTTAAAAAAAGTTTTTAATACGTTCCTATTAACCAAGTTTAATCAATATCAAGTTTGGTTGAAAAAATTTCTAATATAAATTCTTAAATTTTTAATTTTGTGTCTAATAAGTCATATTAACTCTATTAGTCTTTTTTTTTTGTCACACGAGGACTATTATTTAAGAATTAAGTGGGCTGTTGATCTTGAGCAAAGTTGGACGTTTAGTGGCATAATCGTTAAACTAGCAGAATTAGCATAGGGGTTTTATCTATATACAAAGTTGAAAGATTTATAACTTATTAGCTGCCAACATTTAATAGACGATGCAACATGAACGCCAAGATTAGTTAACCCTAATTAATTATGTTATTTTGGAGTAGATGTGTTTGAAGTTTTCATGGACAAGAAGGGAAACTTCAAGAAAGATCTGAGAGCGAAGATATCAAAGGGCTGGCGAGCTTATATGAAGCTCCAAAGCTTTGTATGGATGGAGAAGAGGCCATAGTTGAAGAAGCTGAAAACTTCACCAAACAGATATACTACATCCAAAGGCTATGGATCCGGATCATCATTTGGCCAAATTTATGGGCCACACTTTGGCTCATCCACATCACACAACCCCGTCGGCGTTCATGGTAAAAAACTATTTTGGAGATACCCAATGGACCAACAAATGGATATGCTTGTTACAAGAAGTAGCCAAAGTGGAGTTCAATGCAACACAAGCCCTGCGCCAAAAGGAATTTGCTCGATTTTCTCAGCAAGTTGCTCGTGTTAATTAAGGATCTCACATTGATGATAAGAAAACTAACCATAGTCTATAATATAAGTGGGCTAACTTCTCTTATTGCCAATTGATTTTGAGATGAAATTTCAATATTGTATTTATGGGTTGTGTGAGAGTTTCATTTTGATGCTTAATATACAGTCTATGATAATTAAATTTGTTGTCAAAATTAAATGGCAGGTGATTGAAAGAGACGGGTTTGGATAACAAATGTAATTTTGGTAGACATCAACCGCTTGCGTGGTACGCTTGCTCCTTGGCGTTTTTCACAGATCCATGTTTCTCGGAAGAGAGAATTTTGCTAGCGAAATCCATCTCTTTTATTTACATAGTAGATGATATTTTTGATGAATATGGAACTCTCGACCAACTCATCATTTTCACAGAAGCCGTTTCAAGGTAACCTTTTTAAACTCTTACGTCATTAATTTTGTTAATTCAATACTTACACCACCAAATAAAGGCTTGTTGTTAAACTTTATAAAATGGCAAACTGCAGATGGGACATGAGCGGAACCGAGACGTTACCGGACTGCATGAAGTGTTGCTTGGCAGTTCTTTACGAAATAACGAGCGAGATAAACGACGCGGTGTATAAAAAACATGGATACAATTTCACAGAATCACTACAGAAAACGGTACAAACAATATAATACAAATGATTGATTCCTATAAACCAAAATTTACTATACTTTTATAGTATAAACTAATTTGTTAATTTGAAATTCTTAATACGGAGATGTTTATACTTTTATATTGTATAAACATCTGTGTTGTTTCAAAATGTGGACATATAGAAGAGGGTGAGGTAGTTTACAAAACCCCATCTAATTAAACTTTTCAATTATGTTGTGTAATAAATGTCTTATTTTATTTTATTTGTTAGTACAATAATCTAGACGGTTTTAGATTAATTATGTATAAGAGTTCTAAAAAGGGAATTATATATACTTGGAAAAGTAATAAAATAATTATACCATATATATCTTGAGGTATTATGATTTGTGTGCAATTTATTTTATCCGAGAAATGAGACAACACTTTTTACCTATTCTTTGTGGGTTAAACTTTCCATTTCTTCGAATTATACCTCAAAATGGGAGTGTTCAAGTCTTTACCACCCATGAGTGATGGCGTAGTGGACTTGTTGTCGAATGAAAATATATCTTCCCAATTTAAGTCCTATCACATGCGTAGCTGGAACTAATTAATTCTCCAATTCAAGGACGAAAGCTGTGACATGATAATTTTAAAAAATCATAAAAAAGAATATTATTCCGTGATCTGTTGAATAAATTAAAACATATGATCAAATTTAAACATGGAATATTACAATATGGTTAGGCTGAGTTAACATGAGTACTTGTGAGGTATAACTTCAAAGCAATCTATTTTCTTCCACCTAACATGCATCCAAATAAATTAGTGAAGTCCAACATATTTTCTAAGAAAATTTACAGCAAGAACCAAATAAAGAGTGCTCCCTCCAACCAATGTTGCTGTAAATCAATTTAGCATGTAACATTTAGATTATTTTTATCAACGAGCATGCATTATGGAAATTGTAACGTCATTTACAGAGTTGCCTCCTTCGGTACTGGTGGATGGATCTCCACTGTTGTATTTTCTCTTCATAATAAACGCAGGTTTCTTTGGAGATGGAAGAACCACTTCATTTCCTAGCATGAAGACGACAGTCGACATGCTTGGACGATCTGTCGGATCTTCCTGCACACACAACAGCCCAATTTGGACGCATCTCATCATTTCTTCTCCACTACCTGATTCTAATTCCAAACTTGAGTCCACTAATTCCGTTGCTTTCTCCACTTTCCACAGCTCCCAAACCTAATGGTAATAAAAATATATCTCCATTTTCATCATGTTTCGAATTTAATCAGCAAAGGCAAAGAAATAAGAACGATTCATTGACTTGCTTACATGTCCGACCAAGTTTAAGTAGGAGGACATATGATTGGTGTTCTTTCGGCCTGTAATCATCTCTAGCACCAACACCCCAAAGCTATATACATCGGATTTCTCTGAAAATAGTCCTTCCATCGCATATTCCGGCGACATGTAACCGCTGCGGTAATTGTATTTAAACAAAAATTAATGTAACATTTTGAAAAATGTATTCTTTTTCTTATTAATTAAGATTGGTGAATACAAGATTATCCAATGACAATACTTTAACTACTCACTAGGGTAGAATACTTACTATGTTCCCACAATACGATTTGTATTTGCTTGAATTTGATCTTGGCCGAATATTCTTGCCATACCAAAATCTGCGATTTTGGGATTTAAGTTAACATCTAATAGGATATTGCTCGCCTTCAAATCTCGATGGATGATTTTCAATCTTGAATCTTGATGGAGATATAATATCCCTCGTGCAATCCCACAAATGATTTCAAAACGTTTTCTCCAATCTAGCAAAGCCCTCTTGCTTTCATCTAAAAGAAAAGTAAAAAATAAGACATAAATGTAAAAGCAAGCCGTTTTGGAGATTCATTTATTCAAAAGAGACGTACCAAAGATGAAAAAGTCCAAGCTTTTGTTTGGCAAATATTCATATACGAGCATCTTCTCTTCATTCTTAACGCAGTAGCCTAAAATTCTGACGAGGTTTCTGTGTTGGAGCTTTGCAATTAAAGTAACTTCATTCTTGAACTCTCCAACTCCTTGGCCTGAATTCTTAGCCAACCTTTTAACTGCAATTTCTTCTCCATTTGCAAGCTTCCCCTGAAATATAATGTGTATAAATGATCTATATAAACCCATCCAACAAGACTCAAATTCTTCTATCTTCCATTATCTTTTGTACAATAATAATAATAATGTCCATCATATAAAGGGCCAGCGGAAAAAATATTAGCAAAAAATTGAGTATGCTTGCCTGTTATAACTTTGAGTTTTAATTTTAATAAAGTTTACAGTCTATCTACATTGACCATATATATTCATCCCACGCTTTCATCGTTTCGTTTTATTTTATAAATTCAACCCTGCTACATATTCTTCCAAGGGACACTAGAGTTTCATTATATTAGTTTAAGTTAACTTAAAACATATAACGAGAGGAATCTTGATATCACTATCACATTGTAGGGCATAGTTTGGGATATTAAAAAGGTATTTTATATAATTAAGTTGAAAATATAATATATATAAATTTACCTTATAAACTGCCCCAAATCCACCTTGTCCAAGCTTGTTATTAAAAGAAAAATTGTCTGTTGCCTTTGCTATGGCATTCAAGTCAAATACAGGCAGATCTGAGCTCCTTCTACTTTCATCAAACTCTTTATTCGGATTTGGAGAATCCCCCAAGTAAGATAAACTATTAGATCTCTCCCTTCCAGCTGTCATTAAATAATTTAAGTAAATAGTAATAATAATAACAAAGTCTAATGAGTCACGAGAGAAGAAAGAAAGTTTGACAAATTTAATTAAACAACTTTTCTTACCTTTTCTTCTAATTTCCCATAAATAAACTAGTGAGCTCACAAGCAACAATGCTCCAACGATCGACACAACGACAATTGCCACCACCTTCTTTGTCGAACGATGATTTGAATTTTTTTTTGCATATTGAGCTAAGAGAGAGAGAAATTAAATAATAAGAATTTTGGAAATTTTTGAAATTTGTTGGACTTCCAAATTCCAAGGGAATTAAAAAGCTCACCTAATTCAACTGCATCAACTCTCACGTAGAGATCTTGTCCCGCGTTGGTAAAGGTTCGCGTGTCTATCAAATCCCCATACCACGTCACGCACCCGATCCCCGTCGTCTCATCTGCGCTCGTGTAAGCCGTACAATTACAATCCTTCAGACACGCTTGCTCGCACGCTTCCAAACTCATGCTCTTGTTCCCAAGTGCCGTCGACGTGTCTGGTACCTTCACGCGCTC